GATTTTAGCGTTCTCGCCGTTCTCGACTCTCTGAAGCCCATGGCCGCCACGGCAGCCGCCAAAATTGCCACCCAAAAAGCCCAAGAAGCCCCCAAGAGGGCCCCCAAACGGCCCAGGAGGGCCCCAAGACGGCCCAAAGAGACCCCCAAGGCGGTCCCCCAAAAACCCTTGAGACGGCCCAAGAGGACCCCAAGAAAACCCCAAGGCGGTCGCGAGAGGCCCCCAAGACGGCCTCCGAAGGGGCGGAACAACGCAAAAACGCCCCCAGACGGCCCAAGACGCCCCCAAGAGGCCAGGAGAGGCCCCCAAGAGGCCCCCAAGGGGCTCAAAAAAAATCCCAAGAGGCCTCCAAGAAATCTCCCAGAAGCCTCCAGGAGGCCTCAAAGAAGCCCCCACAAGGCCACACAACGACTGGAGTGTAATGTTATTTTCCCCCCTGGGCGAACTGCGGCGCAGCGCCAGCCAGGTGGAAATTGGTCACGGCGGCGCCCATGACAAGAGCCGGCGCCGGAAGGGAAGATGGGGAGGGAGTATGACAAGCTAGGTGCGCTCGCGTCATATCTGACATCCTACCCCTCCCTCCCATCCCTGACCATGGCGCAGATCCCCTCTCTACTCGCACAGTCGGATGTCGAGCAGGGCAATGATCCCGAAAGGGTACGCGATGCATTGTAGAGCACGGCGTGGCATGGCGTAGAAGAGCACCGCAAAGCGTAGTATCAACCTAGCATTGCATTGCATGCCGTGGCATGGCACGGGGAATGACGCCAGCGCTGCAGCGGGAGCACGAGTCGAAACGAGCGGAAGCGCGGAAATGAGGCCAGCGCTGCAGCGGGAGCACGATTCGGAACGAGCGGAAGCACGGAAATGAGGCCAGCGCTGCAGCGGGAGCACGATTCGGAACGAGCGGGGCCCGAAAATGAGGCCCGCGCCTCAGCGAGAGCAGCATTTTGGAAAAAATGCAGGCGAAAACCCAACTCCCGGGAATCCTGTGTAAAAAAGGCTTGCGCCAAGTATAACAGGCTTGCGCCAGTTATCGACCAAAAGCTTTCGCGGGAACAGTTCGGATTCAGGCGGGGGCGAGGGTGTGTGGATGCGATTCACATAGCACGAGCTGTCGTGGAGAAGTCTCTGGAATGGGGAGAAGAATTATGGGTCGCCACATTAGACGTCGAAAAAGCCTTCGACCAGGTGCACCACGCGGCCCTCTTCGATGCATTATTGCAGCGTGGGGTTGGGGCCACGGCTGTTGGGGCGCTTCGCAGATTATATTTTGGAATCAAAGGCTTCGTATCTTTATGGCCAGGGGAAGAGGGCAGATTCTTTGCTGTTGGCCGCGGAGTGCGGCAAGGCGATCCTCTGTCTCCGGTGCTCTTCAACTTGGTCCTCGACGGCGTTTTAATGGACATCAACGAGATATGGCAAAGACGAGGGTACGGCACTGCAGTCGGTCATGTGCTCCAGGGGCCACGTCTTACTCATATTGCTTTTGCGGACGACCAGACATTGTTCGCAAGGAATTGGTTAAGATATCACTCAAACGGATGATTTTGTTGTTGAAGAGTTCGCTATTGCAGAGGGGGCTGTCGTTGCACCCCACGAAGTGCAAGGTACAGACAACTTCTCTCGCGAAGGTGCAGCGGGGGCATATCATGCTGGAGGACTGTTTTTCTGTGGAGGTTTTAGAGCAAGGGCAATGTTTGGATTTTCTTGGGACCTGCTTATCTTTGGAGGATGTCACAGGTGCGGAGGTCAAAAACAGGATCGCCGCAGGCTGGAGGAAGTTTTGGGCCCTCAAGAAGCTGTTTTTTAATCGTTCCTGCTCCGTGAACAAGAGACTGCGGCTTTTCGGCAGCACTGTCTCCAGCACTGTACTCTGGGCATCAGAATCATGGTCGCCGCGGGTGGAAGAGCTAAGACGGCTCAAGGCCACGCAAAACGCAATGCAAAGGCGGATTGTTGGCTGCAGCCGGAAGCCTGAAGAACCGTGGGTGGACTGGATTCAAAGGACAACGAAGAAAGCCCGGCCATCGGCAAGGAGCTCAACAATCCAACAGTGGCCGGAAGCACATTTTCAACGGAAGTGGCGGTGGGCTGGCCACGTTGCCCGCATGCCTCATCAAGAGTGGGCGGGAAAAGTCACGAGGTGGCGGGATTCGTCGTGGCAGGCGTCCGTCGTGAATGATTGCCCAAGACTGCTCAGACCCTCTCGCCGGCCCTGGATGAAGTTTGAAGCATCGATGAAGTCCTGTTTGGGACCAAATTTTGGCGACTGGCAGATTTTAGCGAACGACCGGGCGAAGTGGCACCAGTACTCCGAGGACTTTGTCGACTGGGCCACGAAGCAGTAGTAGTATTTGTTCTAGGTGCCGCCCCCCGCGGGCCTTAGACGGCACTTGCTCCTTGTGTAAAAAAGCAGGACGCGGGGGGGGGGGGGCGAACACTCCCAGCACGTCATCAGGGGAAGAGGGGGAGTAGTATTCATATTGAGTAATTGTAAAGGAGGGGGGAGAGGCCCCAAAGAAGTCCCCAACAGGCCCAAATAAGCTCCCAAGAAGCCTCCAGGAGGTCCCCAGGAGGCTCACAAGAGGCGCCGCGACGACGTGACTGCACGTGCTCTGGACGTGCACCCCGCGAAGCGAGAGGAATCATCACCCTGTCCCTCTTCCTGTTCCTTATCCCCCCCTCCCTCCCGCCCTTCCTTCTCGGTACCCTCGCGACACAAACATCTAATCAGAGTAAGCAGAATTCGATGTCGCAGCTCTCAGGCCATGCAGAGGCCTCTGGAAGCCACGTCGACGAGCAAGGAGCTCAATATCTTCGATCCCCCATCCTTGAACCCGCAATCTTTGCTCATCTCCCCCTTTCACCTCCCGCGCAAGAGGGGAAAGGGAAGGGGGGGAGGAGAGGAGGGGGAAGGGCAGGGTAGGAAAAGGGAGGGAATCGGGGAGAGGACCAGTCTGGCTCCACCATCCCCCCGCCCAGCACCGATGGTAGAGGGAGAGGTCGATGCAGAAAATATGGGGTTCCAGACTCGCGTGAGTGGATCAGGGAGGCTTCGATTTTCCCATCGTCGCCTAATCCTTCTCCCTTCCCTTCCCACTCCTTCTCCTCCTCCTCCTCTCCACCTCCTGCCTCCTCCTTCTCGTCGACGGCGTCGACATCCTTCTCTTTTTCTTTCTATCCTCACACCTCCTCCTCCTCCTCCTCCTCCTCCTCCTCCTCCTCCTCCTCCTCCTCCTCTTCTCTCTTCTCTTCTCTTCCTCTTCCTCTTCCCCTCCTCCTCCTTCTCTCCTCCTCCTCCTCCTCCTCCTCCTCCTCCTCCTCCTCCTCCTCCTCCTCCTCCTCCTCCTCCTCCTCCTCCTCCTCCCCCTGACCTATGTACCCGGAGGACGAACTCTGTACGCTGGAGGACGCCCACTGGGAGACCAGCGCCAGGCGGCGGCTGCAGCTCTGGCGCGCGGAGCTCAGCCAGCTGGAGCTCGCGACAGCAGGGGCCGCCTGCTGCTTGCGCGGCGCCGACGGGGCTGGCTGCGCTGGGACTCTGGACAAGCGCGGCTACCACGCCTTGACCTGCCAGCGGGGCGGGGGGGTGCTAGCGCGCCACGGCGGGTCGGTGGGCTCCTCCACCGCTGGCGCGGCGAGCGGCCTCTCCTCGAGCAGAGGGTGCCGATTTGGGACCGCCAGCGCCCAGACGGCCAGCTCGAGCGCGCCATCCTGGATTTGGAATACCAGGATGACGACGGGGTCCGGTGGCTGGACGTCTCTGTTCGCCACCCCGCAGCCGGCACGCAGGCCGAGCTGCGTGTGGCTGCGCTCCGGGACGGCGAGGCCAGCAAGCGCGGCGAGCGGGAAAAACACGCGCGCTACCCGGGCGCCCGACTCACGCCCTTCGTCCTCGAGGCGGGGGGGCGGCTCGGCGCCGAGGCCCGCCTCTGGCTGCTCGGGCAGGTGCGACGCCTGCCTGAGGACCAGCAGTCGCGGGAGCTGGCACGGGCCTACAAGGTCCTGAGCTGCGGCCTGCAAGCTGCAACGGCGCGCCAGCTCGGCAAGGCGGCCGGCCTGCGCTAGGCGGCGCGCCAGGCGCCGGCGACGCCGGCCAGACGACGCCGCCCAGCGGACCGCAGAGCAAGGGGCACCGCCCGGCCACGCTCCCTGCCGCCGCGACACCCGCAGGACTCGGCCCGCCTGCGCTGAAGCCGGAGACCCCTGAAGCGGCCCTGGCGGGGCTGCCAGCTGGCACGACGGGCGGCGAGGGCCGGGCTGCTGCCCGGCGGCGCAGCCGGCTGCGCCACGGGACGCCGCGGCGAGGGCGCGGGCACCCATACCTGGGCTGTCCGCGGGCAGGGGCAGGACGACGACGGCGGCGACGCGGAGCCCGAGCCGCAGGGGGGCGCACGTCGTCGCGGTCGCGACGGAGCTCCCGGGTATGCGGCTGGCAGACCCCCTCCCCCCCCTGGGAGTGGCTGCTGTCTTAGACAGTCAGCCACCCCCAGGGGTGCCGCCCCTTTTGGCTGGGCGGTGGGGGTGTCTGCCGGCTTCCGACTAATGTGCGTCGGGCGCGCGGAGAAGACCCACGTCCGCCGCGCCTCCTCCTCCTCCTCCTCCTGGCCTTCCCCATCGTTCTCCTCTGTCCTCCTCCTCCTCTTCCTCCTCCTCCTCCTCCGATACCGCTCCTTCGTCCTCCTCCTCCATCCTCCTTCCCCACCACGCTCGCCCCGTCCCCTTCCCTCCCCCTCCCTCTCCCTCACTCCCCCTGCCTCCCCCTCCCTCCTCCTCCCATCCTCTTCTCCCATCCTTTCCTCCCACTCTACACCCCCTCCCTCCCCTCGCCCCCGCGTCGGCGAGCGGCGCCGCCCGCGGCCGAGAGGCCCGCGCCCTCGATCGGACTGCTAGGCCTACCCCCGCCCGGCGCGCCGCCCGCGCGCGCCCCCGCCCCCCGCCGCGGCCCGCCCCAGTGCGCGGTCCTCCTCCCTGAGCTTCTGCAGCGCCTCGACGGCGGCAAGCCGCACCCTCTCCACCTCCTCCGGGGAGTCGTCCTTCGGGCGGAAGGTGGGCCGCCTGAGGTGGCCTTTGTCTGGTCCGTGCTGCATCGTGTACTTCAAACGCCACGTCGAGTCGCGAGCGTCCCATCTGACGCCCTTGACACCGCTCTGGCGCTGCACTCGCGGCGCGGCGGCCCCCTCCCGCACCTCGGTGGCGCGGCCCTGCTCCCGCTCGAGCTCACGGAGGCGCGCGACGGCCAGGAGCCGCGCCCGCTCCAACTCCTCGGGCGTGTCGTCCTTCGGGGTGAAATATCCACCATGAAGGGTCGTCCTCTTGCCGTCAACGTCCTTCTGCAATCTGACGTACCAGGTCTTCGAACCATTCTTCCAAACCACTCCCGGCACGCCGCTCCGCCGCTCCGCGGCCTTGGGCGCCCTCGCTTGCCCGGTCCTCTCCAGCTCCCGCCGCAAGGCGACCGCGGCCTGGAGCGCCGCCGCCTCGGCGGCCTCCGGGCCCCGCCCGGGCTGTTGGTACCGAGCCACCGAGAAGACCTTCGCGTGCTGCTTTCTGGAGCCCTCACGATTGAATTCCCACGCTACCTTCCAACCTTGCACTCTGGTCGACCAGTGGACCCCAAGGACCCCACTCTGCTTCGCGACCACCCTGAATTTCCCATCGCCACGCGAGCTTCCCCGAGCATATCCAGCCGGCACTGCCAGCATGGCCAGGGGCGGCGCCGCTGGCCCGGCAGCTGGGGGCCGCCGCTCCTCCGCCGTGGCGTCGCCCTCCGCGGGCGCGGGCTGCAGCCCCGCCGTCGCCTGGGGGGCTGCGCGTCTGCCATTCGCGAGGAGAGGGAAACAAGGCCCGCCTCCTCCTTCTCCTCCCTTCCCCTGCTCCCTATCTCTTCCTCGTCCTCCTCCTCCTCTTCCTCCTCCTCGTCCTTCTCCTCTTTTTCCTTTCCGTGCTCCATTCGTCCTCACCCTCCTCATCCTCTTTGTTGTCGTTCTCCTCCTCCTCCTCCTCCTCCTCCTCCTCCTTCTGCTCCTCCTCCTCCCTCCCCTGCTCCATTCCTCCTCCGCATTCTCCTCCTCATTCTCCTTCTCATTCTCCTCCTCCGCCTCCCCCCTGTCTTTTTTCCCCAAACAACTTGCTGAACGGGGTGCTGTTGTGATACTCTGAGTACCTCAATAGTTCTGGTCCCCCGGACTACAGGGGCCCCCCGGCTTTCAAGGGCCCCTCCCCCGGACTACAAGGGCCCCCCCCCCGGACTACAGGGACCCCCCCCCGGACTACCAGGACCTCCCCCCGGACTACAAGGGCCCCCCTCCCGGACTACAGGAACCCACCCCCGGACTACAATGACCCGGAAGCAAGGAACAAAAACTTGACAAGGGACACGAAACGAGGAACAAAACTTGAAAAGCGAAACGAGGCTACAGGGACCCCCCCCCCGACTTCAAGGGCCCCCCCCCCGGACTACAAGGGCCCCCCCCCGGACTACAAGGGCCCCCAAAAAACCCACCCCGGACTATAGGGGCCCAACCCCCGGACTACAGGGGCCGCCCCCGGACTATTGCGCACCCCAGAACTATTGAGGTACTCAGAGTAGAAGCTAACTCCGGCCGAAGGAAGTCGGAGCAGAGACATCCTCACAACAATTTGATGGTCCGGGCCGTTTCGCTTGAGACATCCTCACAACTCTCGTTTCTGAGTTGGCCGGGATTGGCCGTTTCGCCTGAGACATCCTCGAAGAGATCCCACTCTTCGTCGTCGTTTTTGCGTCGATTGAGTTTGGGCGAGCGGCGTGCGTTGCCAGCTGGCGATCACACTTACAGCGGTCTAGCGGCCAGGCGGATCCAGGGGGGATCCTCCCCCAGACCAAATATGCAATGTGTACACGGAGGAAAGTGCAGCAGAAGTTGGAGCGAACGATGGATGTTTTGCCTGTCAAGGACAGCGCTTGTCCACCCGAAATGCACCGGTCTGTCACAATCAGCAACGAACAGCAATCGAACAATGGCCTCCGTCACAGTCAATAACGGTGTCTTCAGTGGACGACAGCGGCGTCCACAACAAAGCGACACAACTCCTGGAACAGACAACAGCGGGTTCCGCATAGAAAAACGGCTTCCGCATCAGACAACGGTTTTGTAACAAGCTCCGAAGTTATTCGACGTCACGGACGCCAGACAATTTTGCAACAGATACCCGACGTTCTCGCAACAAACATTCGACGGCTTAACAATAGACACCCAACTTCTTCGCAACATGATTCGGAGGCGCCGACACGTTTTAAAAACATTGTAAATCAAGCGTTGTAGGTTTGTGTGTTCACACCCGCGCAAGCAATCTGCCCAACATAGCGATTTGCTCATATTCGCTGTATTCTGTAATGTTAAGTTTGCTCCGTTACATATCCCATTCGTCCCACTCTCAGATCCGCAAGGCTGGCAACACATGTTTGTCCCGACCTGTGATATCGGAGAATGAATTTTGAAGATAAAATGTGAGAATCATTTATACAAAATCAACCGGCCTAAGATGAAAATGATAATGCAAGGCAAAACCGATAAAGCAAAGAACCGGAATTGGAGAAGGAAACAGCACATATATTTAGTTGGAATTGGAAAAGCAACCGAAAGAAACAACTTCAAAGAAGAAACGGGAGGGACGAAATGGAAAATTGGCGGGATCCGGAATAGGACGAGGGGGAACCCAAATTATCATTTGAATTGTTCGTAAGGCGATAGAAGTACAAGCAACAATATATGGGCCCAGCTGAGAATGACGGCGCGATTTATATTTATGCTAACTCAAGTGTGTTGCCATGTTTGGGGGGCTAAGGTATACTAGTGTGGGGAAGGCAATGTATTTCTCTGAATCTGTATTGTCTTATTCCGAAGCGGCTCTGGTTTTTGCCAGCAAGGGTTCGTTGGGGAACCGATCAACCGTATGGTTAATGTGGATTGGGCGCTCGGCTGTTTTGTTTGCAGCCTCGCCGCGTCGACGGCTGGAAGCGTTCTGAGGTATATTTCATTTCAACCACCAAGTTTTTCGATGGCGCGTCGCGTCCTGCTTCCGAAATGGCTGCGCAATAGAAATAGCGAAAGAACGGTTGCCTGTCCTACCGGCTGGGGCGTTCCTATCCTTTGCACAAGTGTAACACGTGCATTGTTCATAACATATTCCGATTTTCGCGCTTGTTGGACCGGGTTAGTCAAGCCAGCTTATGTCGCGTGCTTGCACATCTCAGGGACATGGGTAGACCTGAGGTCCGCCATCGCCTGAGGCCTGGGCACTCGGGCCACCCGAGGACTGAGGCGTGCCCTCTTCACGCCACATGTGCCTACGGATTGTCGAGCGACAGGCTTGCACACCCATTGCATCATAGATAGCGTCTTCGGACGAACATTGCGGAACGATGGCGTCGTGCAAAAAAATATCGTGCATGCATGTTCGGGTTTGCTTGTAGCTTTGGTGCATACGTCTGTGGTTGGCACCACGGTGCAAGGTGGAAAAATAAGGCGCCGAAGGAAATCAGAGGTGTGTGTGCGTGTCCATAAAAGGTAGTGTTTTAAAAAGTTGTGTAGCGTATTCGTTTACATGTCTTGGTTAGAAGTTTGTGTCATGCACGCGCGGGGTGGGTGCAACATGCGACGCATGCTAACATTTTACGCTCAGCTTCACTAAGCCATGCTGGATTGCAACGAGTACAATCATCAGGTGCCGAAGTAGGTGGTTGACGGGGTACAAGCAATCCAATTGGTACCAGCACTAGCGCGGTCATCGTTTGTGAGGGTAGCTTGAGGTAGCACTTCAACGAACTATAGCGCATGCTGTTCTGAACCAGTACGTTGATTTGCCCCGCAAGCAGCAAGAGCCAGTGTGCCAGCTGGCTGCGGCGGCAGCGGATTCCGTATCCGAACAACGGCTTCGGTATTCAAACAACGGTTTCCATATCCAGTCACACCGGTTTCGGTATAACCGATTTCCGTATCCACCCACATTTGTTTCCGTATCAACCCACACCGGTTTCCGTATCTACCCATATCGGTTTCCGTCTTCACGCCCACCGGTTTCCGTATCCACCCACATTGGTTTCCGTGTCCACCCATACTTGTTTCCGTATTTTTCCACATCGGTTTCCGTATCCACCCACACCGTTTCCGTATCCACCCGCACGGGTGTCCGTATTTTTTTTCACTAGTTTCCGTATCCAATCACGCCGGTTTCCGTATCCATTTTGATTGGTTTTCGTATCCAAACACGCACCAGCATCGCGAAAATCACACAAATTTGTTTTCATAGAACCCGGTGCCCAAAACACGAGTAAAACCAATGATTTGGGCCTTTTCGCCGAGGCCGTTTTGGATGCCCCGACCGCTCGCGGAACGCCCCGTCCAGGTCCAGGGGAAGGGGAAACCCTTCCCCGAAGGGGTTTCTGGCTCAAGGCCTGACTCAAGGGGCTCAGGGGTTCAGCCCTCAGGGCTCGCTTTCTCCCTATCCAACCATCATGGTTACATGTTTCATTCTTTACTGCCCACTTGCCACATTTCCGATATTGTTTTTATTTCTCTCTCGTGCTGGCGGTTGTGTGTTGTGACGACGGGGTGGGTCAATGGCATGGATCTTACAACAAGCGGGGCACGCCCCGTGGGAGCGGGTTTGAGACGCAGGCGTTGCCGGCTACGCATGGGTTTCTTCAGCAATTTCACGTTTGTATGTTGCTGCCCAGCGCTCCCGACAGAATGCAAACAAGCAGGCATTCATGTAGCGATGGTGTGCTCTGGCTACCCGCCTTCATCTGACACCTGGATTTGGGCCGTTTGCCCTAGGATGGGGGTGGTTGGTAGTAGGCATCCTCATTGGCATCATGGTGACGACAATTCCGTTTTTCGCCCGGAGGACCATACCACCGCAGCTGTCGACGTCGAAGGTTATCGACTAGGAGAGGCACGACCTTTTGGATCACATTTGGATTCATGGGAGGCCGGCCCTGCAAGAGTTCGCCCGCATAGCGGAGACTTCGAAAGTGGCACTTCTCCAAAAGATTGCGGGCATTGCGCATACCAGCGGGCGGTCCCGGACACCATATTCGTTGACAGCCGCATGGACGATCAACCAGGAGATGGTGGAATGAGCAATGCCTTTTTCTACATGCATCCCGGCAAGATCCTCCATATGTATCTTGCTTCCCATGGTCGAACGCATGTCAGCACAATTGGCATTCACGAAACATTGGCGTGCGACAGCCACTACTATTTACAACGTTTATTCCGGCGCCCCCGTGCAACAATTCTATGTTCGCGAGTGGTTTTCGAATTCGGCATCACCGATTCGTGTGCAATACCATATAATATTTTATTCCAGTGCGTATCAACACGGCCCTGGTCACATCATACAATCTGTACGCCATTTAAGACATCGACGGCGTCTATGGCAGCGGATCCGACCCTAACTCCCACCACGGTGGGCGCCCACAGGTGCGTAAATGACGGCACTACTGTTGGCTGCGTACTCGCAGCGTCGATTACATAAACTACAAGATATCAGCTATCATCTGCTCGTGCCATCCGCATTGGGGGGGCGAACAATCTTGGCATTTTGCGGTCGACAGACGCTCCGTTAGTACCAGAACAACAGCCACTTCAATTTTGCATATCCGTGTTCCACGACGATGAGGTTTTCCTCCCGACGCCGACGCATGACAGCGGCATGACAAGGGCATAAGATGTGGAGCCCAGGAGGCCTGACGGGGAAGATGAGCATGCGGATTCCACGAGAATGCGACCTGGAAACATGGTGCCCGACGATTTCCCCGAGCCTCTTGGGGCGCTCCACATGTTCGGAATTCCGGGGGAACTCAGCACAGGCAGCGAACACACAGACGA